GGTGTCGTCGGCAAACTTGCACTCACATATCACTGCACTCATCCCAAGGGGCACTGCAGGGCAGCAATACTTTACCCGGAACTGAGCTCCAGCAGACTGTTTTCGTGTGCTGTTGAATTTGTCATCTGCTCCTGGGAAGACCTGAAAGCAGACCCAAACAAAAGATCACCCCTGGAAGAAGTGCTTGACTGCCATCCAAAGAGCTCTGCTGAAAGGCAGATGGCAAAAAGGAGAGAGGATGGATTTCAAGGGAGGGAAGACAAGTTAAACATATCAGCAGAAGCAAGCAGAAAACCCAGTAAACACAAAGGAGAAATTGTTGCAAGCAGATTGCTGTCTGCTGTCATTTTCAACCAATTTCTGTCTGCTCTCATTTTCAGCCAGTTTCTCAAATAATAATCATCAGGTGACTATGTCATCATTTATCAACTCCCATGTGGACCTGGAGGGCAATACCTTGGCTTTCATGTGGGGCATCAGTGTCCCTGTCCTGGAGACAGTGGCTGGAAGAACAGAGACAATAGTTAATGTTGTACTTTTGCCGACAATCAGCCATGTCTAAACATTCAAACCTCACTTCACACACAAGTCTCCCTACAAATCCTCAGTCACAGACAGGGTGTTACGTTTCACCATGTGGAACTTAAGAGCTAAAATGGAGAAGAAAATGCAAATAGACGAAGCCCACAATGCAGGCAATACTATTTTCTGCCACTGAGAAGACAAAGTAGTCAGGATATCGAACAACCCTAAATGACCTTCAGAAGAAATATCATCAAAGGGCATCTAACAACACAGAAAAAAGAACAGATAGCAAACAGGAAGCTCACCTACAGTACTCAAGAAGGGATGTTATATAAAGTCAGAGAGCTCAAAATTAATTCAGTGGCAAGATGAAGAATTCAGGGAAGTTGAATTTACTGACATATGTAATGACAGTCTTGCACACACTTGATGCAACGGTCTCATGTGAATCATACAATCACAGAATGGTGAGTGAACAACAGAAATTAAATTCATCAGTTACTTGTAAATCCCAGAATGTGGTGTGGATTGAACAGGAAAAAAACCCCAAACACTCTGCACAGAAGCATGTGTTCAGCCAGACAAATTCCAAGGAAGCATCCACCTAATTTTATTTTGTTTACTTTCACAGGAACCTTGGAGACTCCGAGGGCTTATGAATAACTTGAAAAAGGGATTGTACTGGGGGGAGAGAAATAATGCACCACCTCAGGTTTTTTTAACATGTTGTACCTGAAAATGCGTTTGAAAAGGATAATCTCTACACTCACTTCAGATCACACTGTGTTCAGTGTGAACAGCTCCAAGTTCTGACCTTGCCCAACTTCCTTTCTAGACAAGAACAGAGCATACGGAAAGGGCCAGTGGGGGCAGTCCTGCACTGGCCCTGGAGAAGATGGGCTATCAGATCTGAGGAAAGACATCTGAGCAGTGGCTAATTCTCTGGAAGAGGATACACCCTGCCTTGATTTCCAGGGCAGAAACACACAGCTCTGACAGCTCAGCATAAACCAGCAGCCCCACTCCAGGCTGCAGCCTTCCCAGAGTATCCCTGGGGCTGTCAGCTGTGAAACATGAATCTCATCCCCACACTTAACTCTTGCCAAGGTGGGTCTAGATTCCCATGGGATGCCCTATCACAGCAGAGGGACTTGCCTGTGAACAGCACACTGAGCAAGGGGGTGATGCTGTTGATGAAGAGCCCACGGACGTTGGCTGGCAAGGTGTCTCTGTTCTTCTCCAGAAAGCCCCCAGCGGTGTACTGTACCTAGGGGAAAGGGCAGCACGTCACTAAGGCCAGCAGTGCCCGCGGGCTCGCTGTGAAAACCACCTCCACAGCTTGCCAGGAGCAACTGTTGAACTGAATGTACACACAACGTCTCGCATGTGAATTCTGTACTCTGGCATGTGTATTTTGTAAATGCACCCTGTCCCGATGCCAATCCTGAGGAACCAAACCCTGTGGATTGGCACTGAGGCATTAGAACCACAGGAGTGCAGTGTAACACTGAGACATCCACCTTTTCTTGTTCTCCTTTCCTTGATTATGAAGTTTTGTTTACTCTTCACTCTTGCTTCACTCTTCAGGTTTATGCTTCACGCTTTTCTTTGCCCTCCCCCTCTTCCCTTTAACAGTCTTCCATCCAGTTGTCATGCATCCCCTTGTTTTTCTTGCTCCCTTCCTTTCTCATCTCCATCCTGCCACTCTCCTTTCTATGTTAGGTGTTAATTTTTGTAATAAAGAATGTCACAAGTGATAACTTAGTCAAGGATGTAAGTGACCTCAACTCTCATGTCTGCTTTTGCTCAAAACCCCACCAATCAATTATCTCCAATCAATTCAACATATCTGTGCCAATGCTTTCAAAATTGGTGTCAGGAAGGTTACATGCAAGAGTCTAAACTTCAAGCTTCCTGCATACCACTGAATGTATAAATAAGCACCTTCACTTCCAAAACTTTAATTACCTGGCTGCTCTCACTGTGCTCCTCAGTGTTTGCAATTGAAATAGTGACTGCTGTGCTCTGGAACCTGATAGGTAAAGGTAAAGCCTTTAGACTGTCCCTTGCTGCTGCACAGTGGATGCAGAGCTTTTATTTTAGAAAGGACTATTTCAAGACTAGAGCTCCAATAGAATGATGACGAACAGCAGATGCTTCTAATACCCTGTGCTTCCCAGATGTATGCCCACTTTCCTCAGGTGTCCCCTCTTCCTATACCTTATAGAGAAATCCCAGGATATCCTAGAAGGCAACTCCCTGAGGACGCACCGCTTCTGTTATTATCGTCTCACACCATACATTCCTTAACATCAAAGCTTATTTGTCAAGCAACACTTTTCCCCCTTCCTACACACATGACAACAGCATTCTTCCTGCAAACAGTACATACTTTTCCAGCATAGTGAATGATACTGAAGCACAAAACACGGCCTCGACCTGGCTGGAAGTGCAAATTCCCCTTGAAGCTGCTGTTTAGTTTATCCACAAACGTCTTATCAGTTGCCTGCAAGAAAGCAGATATCATCATCAAACGAAAAGGCTGCGACAGAGACTTGATCATGAAACACAGAAACAAAACAAAGTGTTGGAAGTGTCTCTGGCTGTGCAACAGTTTCGCACTGTACTCTCTGGCTCTGCACAAGGGTGCCAACATCATGCTGATCTGGCTGTCCTATCTCATCAGTCATACACAAGGACACCTCTGTTCATCCCGTGCTTAGAATCACTCTCCAACATAAGAGCTCACCCTGCATCCCAGATATTTATTGCTACGTTCCCCTCTCCCTCTATTTTCTTTGCCCCCTACCTCATGCATACCTGAGGGAATGCACTCTGTTCATCCAGAAGAGACAGGAGCCCAACTGGCTTGGCCAGCAGCATGTTCTGCAGGAAAAGAGACACATTACACATACCCAAAGCAGTACAGAGCATCCACTCTCACCTACGCCACCCTTTGAAGAGATTCCTCACAGGTGCATCTCATCCCCAAGACAGAAAGAGGAAGATTCTTATCTTGGCTGGATGGAGCAATTCTCCTCTGTCAGTTCTCGCACTCACCAGAATAGGTTCAGTATTATTGAATGTGATAGTCTCCCAAGGCAGCTCTTCTTCCTTATAGGCAGCCTGCTCCATCTGGAAAATGTGCTAAAACAGACAATAAAAGGAGGTTGTAGCATCCAGCAGACTTGGCTGGACAACCCTGAACATCTTCCTTTCCACCCTGAACAGAGGACAGAGGTGTGGCTCTCATCCATGGCATGAGAGGCCCACGATGAAACGGCTCATCTGCGTGCTCATCCCTAAGCCCTTCACTCACTGATGCTGGTGCACAAAGCAGGAACAATTCTCAGCCTGTAAGTGACCCTGCTCTGCCAGCTTCAGTCACTGCTTGGTGCTTCTTCTTCCTTCCCTGCCCCAGCAGCGAAGGCTGCTGCTCTCTACCCTGCTCCACGAATCCCCATTTCTGTCCTTGCAGGCAACAGACCTGTTTTTCCCCAAGCTCTCCTTCATGTGCCAGGTAAATCAGTGCTCTGCTTTCTCTGCTACACAAGGTGAGATCACCCACAGCAGACTTACATGGTTGAAGAAATGCTGCAGCTGCTCATTGGCCAAGTTTATGCAAAGCTGTTCGAAACGATTCACTGGAAAGTTTTCAAACCCAAAAATATCCAAGATACCTAAAAGAGAGAAGGTGGACACATCATGGATCCTGCAGACAGCTCTGTACCCCAGCACACAGTATCATCTCCCACCACCCAGCTCCTGTGGCATAGGGACACGCCAGTAAAGTCACCAGTGGCATGTTTCCTATAACGCCCCTGGGAGAACAGGTTAGGAGAAGCCCCACTCCCACCCCAGCTCCTCTGCAAAGCCAGAGTGCCCCGGAACTACAGACTCACAGTTGGTTCTGACCAAGCAACTGCTCAGAGTTGGCCAGAGCCCTACAGACTGCATGCCGCTGACTAGTATCTCGAACATCATCCCATCTTTGGTAACAGATCCCTGCAAAACCTCATATTCTGCCTTCTCTTCATTGTGGCAGACGGACACACATTTGAGGACAGAACAGGAGCAAGGCAGGTAGAACTCACCTATCTCCTTCAGCTCCACCGCAGGATCCACGTTCTCAGCCAGCAGCTCATTGATCTTGCAAACAATCCAGCCAAATACTCGGCCATATGCCACCTTTGCAATGGAGTCACGAGCATCTGCACAGAGAGAAGAGCAGCTCGCTGACCCCTCCAAGGACAGCAGGGAGCACAGCACACGCGCTGGCTCAATGCATTCACCTCCAGCGACAATGCTTGGTGACTTACGAGGCTATTTTAAAAAACAGATAAATATTACACATCTGTCTGATTGTCCCTGCTCTCTGCACATTCACGCAGAACTCTTTCATTCCAAAATCTTCTCATTCTTCCAACAAGATCGGATATGGCATACTAGGGCACTTATGAGACCATCTAAAGTGGAAAATTTCATTTCCAAACCCATCCAGCTACTTTTTAGAATATCCAGGGACTTGCTTTCCATTCTGCAGGTCTACTGAGTATGGATCCCCTCACTGCTCAACCAAGCAAAAGGCTCCAAGTTCTACTTGGAAAACTGAATGGTTCTGTTCCTCCTAGCCCACAGCTGCAAAGTGTTTAAAGGCAGTGGGCAAGGGGAGGATGCAACTGGTGGAAAACTTGTTGACATCCAAGAAGAGCAAATCAACATGATCTGCTGCATGATAGAAGACGTATATTTTATTGTCTAGAGACATGCAAGAGAAGAAATTTGGGAAACAGAAAGAGCTAATTCCCCACTTTCAGTTTTTTCTTTCATTTACTTTAAGCAATAATCTAGAAATATGGGGATTTCATGCTTTTAAAAATTTATTTAAAAAATATTTTAAATGAACCTTTTTGTGCAGATTATCTTGGATTATCTTCTTTTCTTATTGAAAGTGAAAATAAGACCTTGTGCTTGCAACTTTAACGTACTCCCCCCTCATCACACTCCTTCCACGATACTGTGCTATCTCACTGATTCAGTTATTTCTCCATCTACTACGCAGAGCTCTGCACACACTGCCAGCACTCTGCAACAGGAGCCTTCCCCTCTTTTGTACAAATACCTACAGTTTTCTTCTAGGCTGGACTGAGGGAGAAAGCAAAGCTAATTCCTTGGTTTCTCATTTAATCCCTGCAGTTTCCTGGAGATCAAACAAAAGCAGCATTCACGGTCCTACATGTCAGCAGGAGACTAAACAGATAAAGACTGATCTACTTGCCTTGGTGCAAGAGGAATGAAGGGGCACAGACAGACATCTTTGTTCCCAACAAGTTGCAGATGCGTGGGGATACCCTTCCACCAAGCAGGGGTCAGTCTTCTAGCCAGCACATCTGCTATTCATTAGGTTTCTTACCTTCTGCCTGCTGCTGGGTGTGAAAACGCTGAATCTGCTCGCCTCGGGTCACTGACATCGTACAAATAAGGCATTTTAACAGTTCATCTTCTTGGACTCCAAACTGACCCTGGAAGAGGAAGCAGTGAGGTCAGTCAACAGCAAACCCTTATTCTACTTGTGGGGGTTGTATCTCCTTGCGTCTGTGTGACACCCAGTGTAATGAGGTCGTGATTCAGATCAAGGCCTCTGTAAGCTCCACTGTAAGGAAAGTCTTACTGTTAACATCTCACAGCACTGGGGTCGGGTGCGGGCTCTGAGAGCTGCATTAACCCTGCAGTGACCAAGCTCTCTTGTGCTCTCTGAAATACTTTGTTTTTTTCTCCCAGTGCTGCCATCTTCCACCTTCCACCTTCCTTGGGAGCCACACCAGTGCCTGACGAGCACTTTAATGACTTACTGAACGGCACCGCACAGATGTGACTGTGCAGGTGCTGAGATGTCTGAGCTTCCACAGATGTCAGCCACACGAACCCGCAGGAAACAAACGAAACTCAGACACAACTGAACCCCTCAGTGATTGCTTTAACAGGAACTCCCCTCCCGTGGGCAAAAAACAAGGAGCTGACTTTAAGAACTAAGACAAAAGAAAGTTGGCCACTGAACAGAGGTAGGTGGTTGTTTCAGGTAGGGTGTAGGAGGGAAACAGGCCAAGAGACGGGAGTGAAACCAAGAGGCAAGGGTGCTGGGGTTTCAAATAGGTCAAAATAAAAAGACACAGAAAGGGCAGAAATATGTTACATATTTCTGTTTTGTGGTGTTAATAAAGCAGGATAATGTATCCATCCCATATAGTAACAATGAGATGGTACTAGGGAATATATATTTCTTAATTTGCGATGATTTCATGTGAAATAGTAGAAAGTTTAATTCTGGGTAACCAGGAAAAACTGACAGCCGTTAAGGTGATATCCTGGGACAATGGACTATACTGCACACCCGAATTTCTCCAAGGCAACATCACACAGTAATATAAAACATTTCATTTTAAAAAGCTCCTATTGTATGAAGATGACAAAGCATGTGTGATATAGCCATATGCAAGACGCTGGTTCTAGACACACAAGAAATAGAAGCTGGTAAGTATCTTTTTGGGAATGAATAGTAGTGAACATGAACACAGTCACGGGCTCACACTGTGCACTTCTGGAAAAAAACCTTGTTTTTCAGGATCCTTCACCGTCTGAGGGAGAAACATCCTGTGTCATCTCTGGCAGGAGCAGCTCCTGCTTTCATTCACAGTGCCAGTGCTAACCAGTATCCTACCCACAAGGTTTCTGTCAGCTCTTCTGTGACTCACCGCTGCAGCCTTCAGCCACCCCCGGGAGGCTTCACTCACTTTTACAGACCCACTGTTCTCCTCAGGCTCAAAGGTCACATTGCCCAGAGACAACACACCAGCCAAGATAGCCTGCATGTCCACTTGCTCCTAAAACACAGAAGAAAGGTGACTGGAAACCTATCAGCACGTAACATATACCACACGGAGGCCCCAGAAGTTGGAGAGGTCAGGGAAAGGCACAGGCAGCCTGTGGGAAAAGGCTTTACGCAAAGTCTGACAGACTCAGGTGGTTTGGAAGCAATGTGGAAAATCCAGAGAGGAGATAAATAGGACTGAGCCTCCAAACGACAGCCAGAAAGAAACTGCCTGCAGGAAGGACAGATGGAAATTAAACCACCCCGGAACTGACCTGTTCTTGGAAGCCCACCATGTCAAGGGCATTGCACACCTCTTGGTATTTGTGCTTCCAGCGCTGAGCTACATCCTGTGTACCAAATCGTCCACTTATGTACCTGAGAAAGTGTATATCCCATATAAAAATGTCACACAATCAGCACAGCAACTCAGTCCTGCCCCAGAAGAACAAAGCAGATCAGCAGCAGGGCGGGCACAAAAGGGAAAGACGCTTTTCCAAGGTCACGCAGCAAAGGAGACTCCAGACCTCCCAGCTTCCATGATGACATATAAGATCTCTTCATGTCACTCCAGCTTCCATTCATTCGTTTACCTGTACCAGGCTCCACAGAGCCACAGGATCCCTTACGCTTTCCGCTCCACCCCCCCATGAAGACTAAAGCAGGGTCTGCCTTGGAAGTACCTGTAGAGTGAAGGATCCAATAGCCCATACATCTCCTTTTCCTCTGAAGAGAGTCCAGCAAACATGTAGTAGAAGATGTGGAAGTTCCTCTCCCCAGTGTCTTGTTGCACTACCCGTGACTTCTCTAACAGGTACTCGCTCAGCTTTGCACCTTGCACTGCACACAAGAAGGTGACACTTTGCACCTGGGGACATGAAGGTGACTGAGCTGTCCCACATCTTCTACTTGGTGATAGGAGCAAGTGGGACTGTCTAAGACAACCATCTTCTGTGCAACACTCTCTAGGTTGCTCAGCACCCTGGAACTGGGCTTCCCATCATCTTGGAGATGTGTGCTCAGCTCCTTTAGCAGCAACCATGGCTGCTGGCACCATTTATTACTGATACTTCCCCTGCACTGTCATCCCCATGTTCTTCTTGTACTCCCACATTTCCAAACCCAGACCTTACCCTACAACTGTGGTTGCTCTAAGATGTTATTTAATTGCACACCCTTCCCACAGGGAGTCAGGTGTCAAAAATTCAACCTCCACAAGTTCCGGCTACTCAATCCACTCCTTCCAGTGCATAACCATCCCCCAAACTAGTAATCGCCCTTGAGTTCACCTGTATTCTTCTGGAAACGCAGCTGTATGTATTTTCCAAAGCGGCTGCTGTTGTCATTCATCACAGTCTGAGCGTTGCCAAAAGCTTCAAGCAACGGATTGACCTAAAACAAGTGAGCAAGCAGAACAACCATTCTTCAAATTAAGTGATCCAATCTAACCTACTTGGAAAAGTCTAACTTTAGCATTCACTATTCAGCATTCAGCTGGAATAGGAACCACTCCAGAAGTACCCAAGAGCACCTATTTTACCACGCCCTGGGTAAAGGAACCAAAAGAGGCAAATATAACAAGCATGAGATGACTGAAAACAAGCACCAAACTGATTTGATCTCACTAAGTTCACGGACTCATTTATTGAAAAAATAAGGTCAGTATAACAGATTTCCACAAAGCATCTGACATGGTGTCACTAGATAATTTGACTGCCAAACTACAATAAACAACATAAATAGGGCACTCAGTAAATACAGACAGCGTAAGGCTCAGGACAGCGAATTATAAAGTAACCAACTGAGCAATCACAACAGCTTGGTAAACTGGATGCAAACAAGGAGAAAAGACATTTTTTCTACACGTGAGGAAAGAATGCCTGCCGCCTGGAAGAACG